CTTCCATTAAAAATTGGTTTCTGCCTTATTCTCAATTCAGCTGTTAAGCCGAGCTTGTCAGCGATGTTAGCCAAGATTAACTCGAAGTAAGCAAAAAACGGCGGATAATCCAGAGTCCACTCTGAAGTCGTTTCAAAATACCATTTCTCCAACGGTTTGTTTATGGTTATAGCCATCCAATTTCTATGAACCTTAAGTTTCGAAATTTCATCTTGCTTGTTCGATTTCTCATTCAGTACCTCGAAGTCAGTGGAAGTGTAGCATGGCATTAGAAGCACTTTAATAGCTATTAACAAGGATATTGCTATCAACCATACATTTCCTACTGGTAAAACATCCAACATCTGAATGCAGCTAAAATAGTTTCACTTTCAACAAAACAACAGATGAATAATATCTTTAATTGTTATGAAATTGTATTTGGTTGAAGTTTTCCCAGTTTGTGTTTCAAACGTGGACCGATCGCAAATTCTGGACCAATGCGAAATCTATGTCGGCAGGTTGCTAAGGAGCGCGGCGACGCTAGCGTTTAGCAGCCTTTGACGTCATTTTTGAATTTTCCCGGATTCAAATTATGAAACTTCTTATAGAACATTTTATTTTTCTCTATTTATGATAATAATTACGAATTATTCAAATTAAGCTGAGTTTGTATTCTTCATTCGCATAAGAACGTTGCATTGGAAAAAAGGAANTTTTTTCATTTTCAAGCGTGCAGCTGCATGAAACGGTTGTTCTCGTTTTTCGACCACGTGAAAAAGGACACGGGTCATGCCCAATTTTTTTTTTGAATTCCGTAAAAATATACCTGTAAATGAGGAATGAGAGGATAAAATAGGTGCTGGCTATTCCATATTTGATAAGTACTTCGAATGGAGTGAAGAGCAATGGGAACAGAGAGAATGAGGTGATGGTTGAAAACAACAGAGAAACGGGAATGAATTTGGGTCTCTGAAAGGAAATCAATTAAACAGTTCCAAGTTATAGAACCTACAGTGAATGAAACTATTGTAAGAGGAATGGATACCAACAGTAAAGCCTTCTCATGAACATGATAACCGAAGTAGAAGAAAGAAAGAGCTGAGATCGTCAAGTAAATAGCGAATGTATCTCTTTGCTTCTGAAAATCAGTTTTACAGATTCGAACTCGTTTAGAACACTTACTTGGAAGAAAAGTAGAGCCAAAGGAATTAGGCTGTAAAAAATGAATAACAAGGAGATGAAAGCCGTAATGGAGGGGAGAACGGAATGTGAATGTTCCTGTAATAATCGAGTAAAAAGAAAGTGAAAGTAAGGATGGAAACCTGAACAAGTCCTGATGCGAACGTTGAAGGAGTCAATCCTTCTACCTTGAGTAGAACCAACACCTTATAGATAATCATGTCCATGAAGTTATAGAGAGCCCAGAAGTTCGGTGCCCAATAAGCATGTGTTAATCCTGTGATGAAAATCTTATTGAAGCTTGAAGAGAAACGGAACCTCTTGAAACAGGGAAAAGTCGTGAAAATATCTGAACTACTCCTTCGAACCCACTTCTGATGAGAAAAGGTCCAAAAGAAAGAAGGAAAGGAGTGAGCAAGGTCACAGCTAACATGACTCCTTAAAAGAAAACATTAAAGATGAAGTAAGCAATGACTATACCTTTGGAGATATATAAACCAATGTTGTTCATTGAGAAGTCTTTCA